CAGATGATTTGCAGGCACTGACATTTGCATCCTCACATAAAGCTGAAGACTAAACATCCTGAGACTTTTTATTCTAAATATTTGATTTTCCCTCACTGACACTGAGCATTTTGTTTCTGGTCTTTGTCTTATCTTGCAGCTGTACAGTGGACCCATGATTCTTCAGGTGCTCTGTAAGTTGTAGAAGATCCTGCAGAATAGAGAGGACAATCCCAAACAGGCTAAAAGAGGGCTAAGCCTGTCGCTGAATAGTTTATGAGTCATTGCTGTGCTTTCCAGGCTGTGCACAAGAGAGGCCTGAGGGAGGAATATGTGATCAGGAGGTATATTACCTTGGGATTTGTTTTCATGAGCCACTACTCATCCAATCTAACTCCATCCCAATGGCTGGGCAGCCTCTGGCCCTTTGCTCCAAGACAATTCATGGCTGCACAGCTCAGTCTGTAACTATAATGCTGAAAGGATTTCAGCAAAGCAAACAGGCCTGGCACCAACTGCTTATAAATAATAGCTGAGCAAGGAAATATTAATGCAGTTGATACCAGGCTGCAAGAGAGAAATCCATGCTCTAGAGTTGTCTTTTGGTAGAAAGACTGTTAATCTGCACTAAGAAAAATCCTGGAAGTTAGACGTATTAACATCCTGACTTTTTTAAAGGCTCCTGTGAATTATTATCTTGAGACTGTAATAATTCAGTAATATGCAGAGAATATGCAGGATTTTTGGCACATCAGAATGTTCACGTGGTGCTCCTGCAATGGAGGGGGAACCTGCACTGACAGGAGCTGCTTTGGATTGGATTCACAGCAAAGTGAAACCAGCTTTTTATTTTAAAGTATTATCAGAAAATAATTACAAAACCCACTGGCTGCTGCAATGCAAATCCCTGCAGTGCCCCACTGGGAAGAGGGACAGACGTTCCAGCACAGAGAACTCCCGGGCACACAGAGCCAACTGCTCTTGCAGGAAAAGTGCCCTGTGGGTGCCTGGTGCCCGTGCCTGTCCCAGTGCTGTCATCCAAATTGCTTTGCAAGTTCCTATTTACTCTGTAACACTGGTAGCTGGGCAAGCTCCACTGAACCCCAGGCACGTCACTGACGCAAGCTGCCCCTCAGGCCTGCAGGTCTTGCTGGCTCTCACCCTGGTTTTGTTTCTGAATGACTACTTTCAAACAAAACCATAGCTTGGGGCAGCTGCTGTTCTGTTTAGGCAGTGGAAAAAAGCTGCAGCCCTGGGCAGTGGGCTTGTACACCCTGGGCTTCCTGCCCTCTACTCCTCCTCAGCCCCTTGAGCCTGTGTCCTTTCCCACACTCTCTTTTGAGGAGCACAGTCCCAAAAATGAGGCAATTCAGGCCTGACCTCCTAATCTGTCACATTAATGTGCGGGTTTGAAATCCATCCCCCCTGCCCAAAATGTGCAGTGTTGCTGCTGCCATCCGTATAAGGCCCACGCAGAGCACAAAGCCAGGCTGGGCTATTTATATTCCCTCGCCCGGCCATACCCATCCCACACACTGCACGGCTGGGATGTGGGTCCCACCCTGCTGTCCTAACTGCCCGGCCCTTCCCATGGAAACCCACATCTCACACAGATCAGAGCGGCTGTCAGAGCCCCCTGAGGCGCAGAGGAGCCCCACAGGAGCCCCCAAATCAGACAGTGTGGGGAGCACCCCTTGGACAAAGGCTGCTCTTCCAAACAAATTCACTGCACATCCTGAGCCAGAGCAACCAGAGCTCGGCGCCCACACGAGCCTCAAAATAAAGGACCGGCACACTTTAGAAATTCAATACTCCGTGTGTATGCTGAGTGCTGCAAGGGTTTGCCCAGCTGTAAGAAAGTCAGCCTCTGATACTTGCAGGAATAAGTTTAACTGTCAAAAACTGTTTGGAGGAAAATGCTGGGCTTACGTAAGCTGCCACGTGCCGCTCTCAGACTGAATGCGGCCCAAAGTCTGGTTTCAGGGCAGTAGCTGCACAGGACATCCATTATTGAACCATGAACTGCAGTAACCAGACTCAGATTCAGGATCCTAAAGACAGGAGATTTGGGATGAAGTCACTTCAATTTGTTTTTATTAGCAGCTATTCTCACCAAATTCGTTGGCGTCCTGGTTTCTCTGAAAGATGGGAACCTGGGCCAGAGGCACAAAGGAAGCTCTGTGGAGCTCTGAGCTCTGTTCCCAGGGGCTGCTGAGCAGTGCAGGCACTCACTATCAGACTTTTTAGGAAGGCATGTTCTGCACTGAACGTCTGCATACACAGTGGCCCATCAAAGCTCAGCCACTTGCTTTGGGTCCGCAAGTTTTCAAAACAGAAAGATGGGGCAATTTGGAGGGGGGTTGTTGTTTTCAAATTTTTTTCTCAAGAATCGATCTAATTCCCTACATTAAGTCGATACAAAAACTCTTTCGACTCGGTAGAAATCAGACCAGCTCCTGGCAAAATCAGCTGGAAGTGTTTCTGAGAGGGTGAGCAAGCGAGAAAATGTGCACACGGACAAGACTGCGAGTGACACCCGTAAACGTTCTGCTCAACACCTCATCTTAGCCAGGACATGGGACTGATTTCCAGTTCAGCATTTTCTCCCCCAAAGTCAGAAACTACCCTGACAGTTGTGCTCAGGATCATCCCACAAGTCAGGCTTTCCCTGAATAAAATTTTACTTCAGTTTCCTCCTAATCTACAGCGAGGAAAACACAGCTCTCATAGGCAGTCTGACCTCCCCTCCCAAGGTGCAAAAGATCTAATTTGCACTCCTGAAATAGTCCCTCCACAACTGCTGGAGCTTCAGGACGTAATGCTGAGAGAATAATCAAACATCATTAACCAGCAAAGAACTCATTTATCTTTACCTCCTTTATCTCTTTGCCCACAGAACTGTGCGATATCGAATTCCTACAGAGCATGACTCCTGCTCTGCTCAGCTCTGTTGCCTGAAAACAGTCACCGCTGGGATTATGGAATATTTTACTTCTCTTAAAATGAGTTTCTCTCTTCTTCTTCAAAAGAAAAGGCTAGTAAATCCTTGCACTTTTAGCTACAGCAATGGAAAACACACAGGAGTCACTCCCGGCGTGGCGCAGCAGCTTTCCCTGAGTCAGAGAGGAGCAATAATGTGCTCAGCACTGCAGAATTAATTACATGACCAGTAACGTACCCAACAGACACTTTGATGGGTGAGTGGGGGGTCTGAGAAGTGAAACACTGAATTAGAAGAGAATTATGTTGTAATTATTTGTTTTTAGCCATAGACACCATTAGGAAAGCACAGTGTATTCCTCATTTAACCTCCCAGGGTGGATCCCAGTGCCGGGTCCTGTCCTGCTGGGGCCGAGTCTGCTCCTGCAGAAGTGCCAGGATGTTCACGAGGGCACAAACGGCTCCATTTCACATGGAGTAAACCTGGAGAATTCCTTACTTGTGCTCTACGACCTCACATTCAAATCACACTACGTTCCATTCTGGGAAACTGTTCCAAATTACAAATAACTTTTTTCACTATAATCTCCATGATTACCAAGTCCCTTGCCAACCGACTCGCTCCAAGGCTGCTCTGTCCTCAGCACAGCAGCAAGGGCAGGCCCTGAGCCTTCAGAAGCAGGATGGTTTTTCATATTCAAAGAGAAACTCTGCTCAACATCCATAAGCCAGTGCAAACCAACACAAGCAGCTCACCAAAAGCCAACCTGTCAATGTTCACGGTGCTTCCCGAGGACCTTGAACTCTGCTAACTTCCCACCTATCTGTAACCCACACAGAATGTTAAACAATTCCCTTCCCTCCTCTCATTTTGCAATGGTTTTGCTTCTGCAGTACATTTAAACTTCTATCTTATTTTTCCATAGACAGATTGATACAAAGAGCTTGTAATAAATACACACATGTGTATCTGTCTATAACTGGTCAGGTTTCCCGTATGATCTAAACAGGCTTGAGTATTTCAGCCTTTCAGCCACAATAAAACTACAAATGCTCAAGCTCTGAACCAGGGAGTCGCACAAGCCCTGTATATCTCTGATCACTGAGTCTGTCATGAGCTGCTCTCCCTCAAACCCCATTGCAACGACCATTCTCCCTTTTATTTTGCTTTTTTTCTCTCTCTTCCCATGATCAGCATTCGATGCTTCTCTATTTGTCCCTGGCGCTGGCTATTATTAACTCAGAGGCTTCCAACTGAATCATTAACTGTTTCACTCACTTTTCTCCTGTGGCCCAATAGAAGAGTTTGCTCTGACACGGAAAACTAGCTGCAGGCAGGAAACCTGACAGAACCGTGCTCCTCTCTCTCTCCTTGTTTAATATAAAAGGAAAACTCCAACGCTTAGCATGGGGGGGGGAGAACATCAAGCAAACCAAAGCTGTTACTGAAACCAGACAACGAGAAGGATCAAGGCTTGCAGGATGCAGCAGGAAGAAGGTGGGAATTGTACAAACCCACGGCAAAGTCCACCCTGAGTGCTGCCGAGCTCAGGGGACCGGTCTGGATTTTCTCTGACAGCTCCATCTGCCCTGGCGGGTGGGATTAACCCCAAGCCAGGGTTACTGTCATTTGTTGTTATCAGATGCATGTCACACATCTGAAATGCTATCGCTCTCCACGTAGCCATGCACATGGTGTCTCTTGGTAGAAGAGACGTTGCAGATGGATTTACAAAACCCCCTTCCAGATCCCAGAACACACTTGTACGTCGTTGAGCTAAGCAGTAAAATCGGGTTATTTTGATCCTTCTGGCCCATTGCAGTGAGTGCTTAGGGCCTTGCTTCCTATCTGCATTAAAATTCCTGTTAAGTGGGACAACTCTGTCAAGCTTTGTCTTAGGACACACAGAAAATGTTAAACCACAAATGAGAAAGCTATGGGGGGACCCGCCTCAGCCTGAACTGCCAGACAGTGCAGGGAGTTTGGGAGAGGACTGGACCGGCCATGCAGCATGACAGGACCCTCAGCGAAGAAAACAGCTGCTAACAGGAAGCAAAGACATTGTGAAACAGTTCCCTACCTGGTAGATCATGACTTTGAAGTTCCTGCGTTTCAGGAGCTCCGCTTCATTGGCCTCCAGCTTCTTGATCTGCCCGGCTTGCTTCTCCAGGTTCTGCCGCACCGTCTTCACGTTGACGCTCACCTTGCGCACCTTCTCCAGCATCTTGTTGACGGTGTTGCTGGTGGTGGTGTGGGCCTTGGTCAGCTTGGTCAGCTCTCCCTGGATGCTGGTCACTGCGCTATCCATCTCTTGCTGTCTCTCCTCCAGCTGTGTTTGGGTCAGCTGGATCTGATCCACCGCTCCAATGATCTTGTCCAGCAGGGTCAGCACCATCACGCCGTTGATCTGGTCTGATTTGATGGGCTCCTCGGGCGCCTGCTCCTCCGAGGTCTCAGAGACAGTGGGTGGCTCGATGATTTGCAAGGTGGTGTCCTCCATGGTCGCTCGGGAGTCCTGGCTCACGGAGCCCGGAGAAGCTGTCACTGCAGGGAGAGAGCAGGGAAAACTGAGCCCGAGCCTCAGCTAAACTCCGCGCTGGGAGACGCGCCAGGAATGGGGAGCGCAGTGAGTGAGTGTCTGTGCTGAAATTCAAATGGCACAGCTCCGCACAGCCGTCCAGTGGAACTGCCCTGCAAAATTTTCCAGGCTTGCAGGTCATTGGCTGACTCCACCTCAGCTATAGAAAAGAAGCCGCTGCCAAATGCCTGCTGACCCACCCTTTTGAAATGATTAAAATAGTTGGAGGGGAGGCGATGGCTCTGCATGCAAACACAGGCACAGCTCAGCCAGGAATGCAAAGCTCTGGAACTGCTGCCACCCCTCAGCCTAAAGGCACTGTAAGTAACAAGAGGAAAAAACAAAATCCTCAAGTAAATGACTCGGGAAGCTGCTGGGAAGAGTGGGAAGTGAGCAGCCCCATCTGGGCACAGCTGTGCACATTGAAGGCTGATTTAAACAACTGCATGCGCTGAAGTTCAGCTGGAAAATGCAGACCTGTTGCCAATAGTAAGGCTTGGGGGTTTTTTCCCCAGGATTATGAAAGCATAATTTTCAATATTTTAAAGAAATGCTACAATTTGGATTCAGTAGTTCTGGCACAAAAACATCTGGATCATAACAATACCCCCCGAACTGTGAATGTACGATGGGTGTACACAGTGCATGCAAAGTGCACCACGTCTCCACACAGGTTTAACATGGGAGAAGGATAATGCAGTCCAGAAGGGAGGCAGCTGGGCACTCTCCCCAGAGGAACTCTCTCAGCTCTGCAATCCTCGAGCCATCGACAGATACAGTCACTGACTTTAAATGTGGGACCCGTTGCGGCGCATGCCATGCAAAGCTGTGCTTGAAAGCAAAGCCCAAATACAGTGGGTTACTTGTGGCTTTAGTGGTAAAAACCCTAATTGATTCAGAACAAGGAGACACATGGTAGGTGCCACCCCAGGCTCTGCAACAACCCAGCAGGAACACGCCAAGAATGCGGAGAAGGAAAATTCAGATTCTGGGAGTGACCCTGGGCCAGACCCTTCACTGTCCCTGGAGTAGGCTCAACCAGAGGGAGCCCAGCTCCCATGTATAGTGCTGCCATAGAGCCTCCACTGGCCTGCACTCTGCTGCTGGGCTGGAGGTTCACTGGTAAGGTCTGTGGGCACACTGGGAAGGTGGCAGCTTCCCTCGTCCTGTAACCTTGACAACAGTAATTCATCCTCCGAACCTCCTGCCTCTCGAGGGGCCAAGGCCACCCTTGCCCTTTGCCACCAGCTGGCAAATACCAGGAATGCCCGAGAGCTCCGGGCTCCTTCCAGATCAGCTGGCAAATACCAGGAATGCCCAAGGCAGCCTGGGACAAATAACCCATCCTGACACACAGGCTGGGAAGCCCAGGGCAACCCACAGAGGGACATTGTTCACCATGAATGCTCATGGCAGTCAGCACTTTCCCTGCCCTGTGACTGCTCACCCTCCCCACTGACCTGGGCCTGGCGGCTCTGGAATCAGGGAATTGTATCCTGTGCCCCCACAATAGCCATTATGCCACCTAGGAAAAATAGGCTACTTTTTATGCCCTGTTCTTTCCTGAAGGGACCTTTTTCCAGAGCATTTATTTCCAGTGTTTGCTGCTTATGAGTCAGCTCCATGAGAACACCCTCAGTGCTGGCAGCCAGCGGCTCTTTGTCCCTGGGTGTGCTCCAGGGTGGACTTCCACAGGCACCTGCATGGGGCTTCAGGTACAGGACAGGGTGCCTGTGGAGCAGAGCTCCTCCTGGGCCTGCCATCCATGTGTGATTCCAGCATATCTCTGTGCCTTTGGGTCTCCATTTGGGAATAATTAAAAATCTGCCTGAATAGGTCAGTCTGGATAGAACTAGATAAACTGACAGGGCAGGGACTCGCTCTGTTCCTGGGGCTCAGCGAGAAGTGCCCCTCACGGTGCCCCTGTGCCCACAGTGATCACCCCGGGCTGGGACACTGGCAGTCATTTCTTATGTTTGGATTAACCCCACTTCAGCCCTCTTCTGCCACAGAGACATGCCAGGAGCAGCCAACGGGTGGGAATCTGCAGCCTGAGCTCTGGAGCCTCTGCTCGGGGTCGATCTGTTCCAGCAGAGCAGGCCCAGCTGCTCCCCGTGTACCCCAGAGGGCCCTGGGGCTGCTCCTTGCCCTCGCTATCCCTGCCCGGGGCCTCGCCCGGGGCCTCTCCCGGGGCCTCGCGGAGGGAGACAGGAGAGGCCAGGCCGCGGCCTTGTGCGTGCTCCCCGTGGCGTCACCGATATACACGCGGCGTCACTATAGCAGAGATGACGTCACATACTAAGATACTGACGTCACCGCTGTTGTAGCCAGAACCCGCCCCCTCCCACCCCCTCTCTTCGTCACTTCCGGGGCGGGTCCTCCCGCGAGCCGTCGCCAGGAGACGTGCGCGTGACGCCGCGGCGCGCAGGCGGTGACGTCACGGGCGGGTCCCGGCGCGGGGCAGCGGGAGCGGCGGCGGCGGCGGGTACCGGGAACGGGGAGCGGGAACGGGGAACGGGACGGGAAGGGACGGTTTGGAGACCGCCGGGCCGTGACGGGTCGGCGGGGAGGCCCCGGTCGCTGCCCCCGGCCCGGTTCTCACGGCCGTTGTCCGCAGAGGCCGCGGCGGGAGCGGTGCCGCCATGGGGGAGCTGTTCCGCAGCGAGGAGATGACCCTGGCCCAGCTGTTCCTGCAGTCCGAGGCCGCGTACTGCTGTGTCAGCGAGCTGGGCGAGCTGGGCAAAGTCCAGTTCCGCGACGTGAGTGTCCCCGCGGACCCGGGCGGACGGGGGGGATCGGGACCCCCCGGGAGCCCCGCGGGATCGGGAGCCCCACCCGCCCCCGCCCCCGTGTCCGCAGCGCAGAACACCCCCGGGCGGCGGGAGGGGCGCTGACCCCGCGTCTCTCCCCGCAGCTGAACCCCGATGTGAACGTGTTCCACCGAAAATTCGTCAATGAGGTCCGGAGGTGTGAGGAGATGGACCGCAAGCTCCGTACGTTCCCCCCGGGGCTGATGGGGCTCTGAGTCTGCAGGTTTTGCTGATAAGCCAATCAAGGCGTGCAGAAGCTGCAGAGCAGCGTTAGGAACAGAGCAGAGAGGGGTGAGGGCACAGGATTCACCTCCTGGAAAGGTAACTCTGACCAAGTCAGACAGTCTTGGAATAGGAGGAGAAAGGACTCTCAGCTGCTGATGGGGCCAGGTGCAGGTGGGGTGACACTGGACTGTCTGTGGTTAACACTGTCAATGCTGTCTCCCCAGGGTTTGTGGAGAAGGAGATTAAAAAAGCTAATATTCCTATCATGGACACTGGCGAAAACCCAGAGGTGCCTTTTCCACGTGACATGATTGACCTGGAGGTAATGATGTGTTAAGACTCAACTAGTGTTTCACTCAGAATGGAAACAGGGAAAATTGTCTCCTTATGGGTCGATGCCTGCAGAGCTCAGCAGCAGAGGGGCATTGGCTCAGTCCCCAGCTGGCCCTGGATGTGGCTCTGCCACCTCACATGGGCTGGGTGTGACTCACAACATTGTGCTGCTTCTGTGTTTATCCAAGCAGAAGTGAAAGCACTTAATAGGAATTTCACTGTCAAAATGAGCCAAAACCTGCTGGAACTACATGATTTATGGTGGTGGGTCATAAAGTTTATTAGGGTTTAATGATTTGAAGAAACTGCATCAATCCAGTCCATAAAGGACTGGCTGAGTGTGAGAAGTCTGCAGTTGCCTGAAAAGAATGTGGCAAATCTGGATCTGTGCCACAGCACTGTGGAGACACACCTGTAATTCCATAGAAATTAGGTGGGGATGTGAAGTATCTCATCTGCTTCCGTGTTCAGTGCTAGACTGAACAGCACTTATTTATCAAATTGCTTTAAACCCCTTTTCCTTCTCTTTTTCACGTCTTGCAGGCAAACTTTGAGAAAATTGAAAACGAGCTTAAAGAAATCAACACCAACCAGGAGGCTCTGAAGAAAAACTTCTTGGAGCTGACAGAATTAAAATTTATACTGCGTAAAACTCAGCAGTTTTTTGATGAGGTCAGAATACCGGGGGGGGTTAACACTTGGGGAGCTGGTTCTTCTTCTAGAAATTACCATTTTTATTCTCAGATATATTTCAGTTGCTGTTTTGGGTAGCAGCATCATTTTATGCTTTGTTTAAGAAAGCTTCTCAAATTGTTTTCCATTTTTCATGCAGAACACACAGCTACCCATGATTTACCTCCTACAATGCTGGTTTGGGTTTGTTCTAGTTAAGCAATGATTTGTTTAAAAATTGTGTAAAATAGTTAAGACATGAGCATTTTTTAAAGCACATCAACAGCCCTGAAATTTGTTGCTACAGGGCATACTGTCCCAAGTGGGTTGGAGTCTCTTTGGTGCACATGCAGAGGAGTTACAATCAAGCTGACTTTGTCTTCAGCCTTTGAACTGTTATGTGGAGACCAATCAGGGTCATAATATAAAGTCCTCTGAAGTAATAGATTAATTAATTGATTGAGCCTTTGATCAAACCCTGAAGGTTTCAGAGGTCAGTTCCGGAGCAAAGCTGCCATATAAAGTCTTTGACATTTTGTTAATTATCAGCTGGGCCAGGAACTGGCAGCTTTCACTGGATCTGAGAGGAGCTTCTCCAATGTCATTCATGGCACCGACATAAATCCTGCTTGGGAGAAGACACAACCCTTCCTCGTCTAGGCAGTCTTCCCAGAGAGCTCCTGGGTGTTTTTCAGGACACATTTTTGCCGAATAGTTGTCCTTTTTCCTCTGATTCCAGGATTTGATCAAAGAGTTCTTGACAGAAGTGGCTCCTGGTGTTTACGAGGGCTGTTGTCGAGCGGAGCTGGGCTCCTGCACGCTTCAGGCTGTTGATCTAACAGTTTGTTTCTTGGTGTTTTGGCACAAGATGCTGCCTGTTCAGGCACCGAGGTTGGTCCTGTGCCACCACCAGTCGTAGTCACTGCTGACACAGATACTGCTGCTGATGTGAGGGTTGATGGGTTGTGGGGTTGATTTCAGTACAAAAAAAAGTCGTCTTCGAGTGTTGAATGTTCACTTCCTGTTTGTCCAAGGGACACTTGTATTACCCTGATAATCTATTACTTTGCTGTGTTAAGGTGCTACCGCCTGCTCTGAGTATTAAGTAAAATCAGGTACAGCTGGTGCTGAGCACTTTTATATCAAGAATGAATCCC